AAGGAGGAAAGGATAGAAGGTACAAGTGAAAGGGAGGAGGAAAGGAATGAAAAAATAGAGGGAGGGAGGGAGGAAAAGAGAAAGGGGAAAGGATGGAAGGGAAAGGGAAGGAATGAAGGAGGGAGAGAGGAAGGAAAGGAAGGAAGGAAGGAAGGAAGGAATGAGGAAAAATAGGAGGAACACGTGAAAGGAAGGAGGAAAGGAAGGAAAAAATAGAGGGAGGGAGGAAAAGAGAAAGGGGAAAGGATGGAAAGGAGGGAGGGAGGGAGGAAAGAAAGAAGGGGAAGGGAAAGAAAAGGGAAGAAGGAAGGAAGGAGGGGAGGGGATAAATAGTCAGATGGGATCTGAAATTACCAACCCCGAATGGAGTGAATGGATGCACGCAGAGGACCGTCTGCCTTGCAATGAATGTCCGGTTGACTCGGGGTCATCTGGGACCCCCCCACACTTGGCCAGGCCCCCCCTTGCCCTCTGCCCAGATGCCCCCAGATGCCCCCCCGGCACTCACCACACTCTTGGTCTCCGGCGGCTGGAAGGCCAGGCGCAGGGGGTCGATGATCTGGCTCTCCTCTGCCCGGCGTAGGGGCAGCAGCGTCCGTTTTTTCTGGTCGTTCGGGGGGGAAATGAGACACGGAGCCTTGGCTGAGGCGGGACTACAAAGCCCAGCAGCCTCCGCCGGCTTCCCCCACGGGAAACAACCTCGGAGGCTGTCACTGAGCCGCCCTCGGCCAGACTCAGCCTCCCCCTCCTTGGCCTACAGCTAGTCAAAGGTAGACTGCCATGAGCAGGGAAGCTCATCGGCACGTAAGCGTGGCTTTATTCTTTATTTTCATTTCCCTTGGTTCTTTTTTGTTTGTTTGTTCTATTTTTACTTTTCGCCTCGTTCCTTTCTTTTTCCTTCTTTTTCTTTCATTTTTTTCCTTTCTTTTCATGATTGTGAAATAAGCGGCAAATAAATATAAATATAAATATAAGTATAAGTATTAGTATAAGTATTAGTATATATATAAATATAAATATAAATATAAGTATTAGTATTAGTATAAGTATTATTATAAGTATTAGTATATAAATATATAAATATAAATATAAATATAAATATAAGTATAAGTATAAGTATTAGTATTAGTATAAGTATTAGTATAAGTATTAGTATATAAATATATAAATATATATATTAGTATAAGTATATAAATATATAAAAATATAAAAATATTAATATATAATTCCATCTAATTCATAAAGTGGTTGGTGGTTGAAAAGTATCTTTTGTTTTTATAAAAGTTTTTATTTTTTAAGACAAACATATATAAGCAAGACATAAAAACCTAAAACCATCTTCCCTTTTATATACATACAGTGTGTCGGTTGGTTACAAATCTTTTGTGCTATCCTTTCGTAGTCCTTACTCACAGTTTTATATAATTTTTCCCATTGTCAAAGTAAACATATGCTTATATATTTATCAGTTATTAATCATCCACGACTAAACTATTTATTCCATCATTTTACATGAGATATTCCCAATTTTATTTTTAAAATGTATATTGTACTTTCATCCAATATATGTCTACGTTATATTTTATATCGATCTATGGAAGTTCTATTACAAAATTATCTAAGCGGTCGCACAATATCTGTAATGATATCTTTTTTTTGCTTTGCTCCAGAGACTCCCGGATAGACTGCTGCTGGTGCTGGAGGTTCCATTAGCAGTGGATGCATCCCTCCCAAGGCCCACGTACACAGGTTTCTGGGACTCTTTGGCCAACTCCCTGCTGTCTCCCCCCACCCAACAGCCCCCTCCTCAGCCTCACGGGAGGGGAGCCCACCTGTTTTCGGCGCCTTGCGTCGATCTGCCGAAAGTAACGAGAGATGTAGAGGTTATCGAAACGGATGTCTTGGTTGTACTTGTTGGTGTAGGAATAAGCCCTGGGAAACAGAAGGAGGGGTGCGTAGAAGATTTCCTCAGCAAAGAGAAAAGGAAGGAAGGAAGGAAGGGAGGGAGGGAGGGAGGGAGGGAGGGAGGAAGGAAGGAAGGAAGAAAGGAAGAAAGGAAGAAAGGAAGAAAGGAAAGGTAGAAGAAGGAAGGAAGGGGAGGAGAAGGAAGGAATAAAGAGAGGGTA